TTTTTTTTTTTTTTTTTTTTTGCTGTTTTGATTGATTGAGCTCAAGGATTGTTTTCATGTGGTTATGTCGATTTTGTTAGGATAAGCTCCTTTTGTGCCTTTTTATTTTCTTTCCATTATGATTGCGACTTTTGCAAGGTTATAGCTAAGGATGGTAGTTATTAGTTATTACCCTCTTATGACAAAGCCTTGTGTTGGTTAGAAATTAGAATCTACTGGCTTTTTGCAATTCTGTTTTGTCATATTAGCGTATATATAAGATCAGATAACATGAGATTTTGTTTGCAATTATTGCAGCCTAGTATATGTTGAGCATCTGCCGAACGGCCCGAACCCCATAGCCACCTATGAAAGAATCCTCGTCATGGAGGTGGATGATGAAGAAACGGCATTTCTTATTTGATGGGGTATGTGTTATTTGAATATTTTTTTTTTTTCAACTTTTGTTAAATAGAATCACGAGTATTTACGAATGCAAGAATTGTTTTCAATGTATAATTGGAATTGCAGTTAGCATGTGGGGCGAAGATGACACAGCTTCCGTTTATGGTATTTGTCTGTACAGTAATGTTGTTCGTCATTTATCGGACAACAAATTACCAGTATCAACAAACTGAGGTATTTTGTAGATGCTGCTTCATTTTTCACTTTTTAATTTTACCGAAAAAATGTTATTTATTGCAAAATCGATAAACTCATTTTGCGTTTTAATTCCTGTTCATGACACCTTCTCTGCCATTTTTTTTTGGCATCCTTTTATCAGATGGACTCGAAATTGTACCCTTTTTACACATCAAAGGTAAATTATCTTAACATCGCTTATCCTTGTCTAATTATTTTTAATTTTTTATTGGAGCATCTTTGTCTCGAGTTACAATATGAAGCTTTTTTTCTTTTCATTTTCATTTGTTAGATTTTTAATTTCCTGCTGTTAAGTTGTCACCGATTTTTATGCAGGACCCGGGCGTGGTTACCACTGGATTGAATGGCCTGCCACGTGGAATCATTGAAGCAAAGTCGGACCTTGAATTGAAGCCTTTATGGAGTAGTTCTAGATCAAAGGTATTACAATAAAGAAATATATAAGACAACTTTTGTATTTATCTGCATTCTTCATATGTTTAGTGATTATTGTGTATTCAAGCTCCTCTATTCAATATTCATTCATTAGTTTATCGATCGTTCTGTATTTTTTTCAGAAAAGTGTACGGAGCTCTTACAATTTGCTTGCGATGCCTGTTGGAATTAAACAAAAGAAGAATGTCAATGCCGTTGTTCAAAAGGTAGTGCAGTTCTATTTGCATTTCAACACTGGAAATAATTCTGACCAATGTGTTCGGTAAAACTAGCTGATAGTTTATAAATAATTTTCGAGCTTATAGCTTATGACTTATGCCTTATAGCTGAAAAGCTTGCTTATATGATAAAAGTGTTTGGTAAAATTAGCTGATAAACTAGCTGAAATAAAAATTTCAACGAACTTATTTGAAAAGCTACCTAAAGAAGCTTATGAGATAAGCTCGAGTTTTTTTTTTTTTTTTTTAAAAAAAAAACTCGTCCTACCAAAAGAAACTTATTTGAATACAGAAAGCTTATAAGCTAACCTACAAATTATCTTTTTTAGTTACCAAACATAGCCTAAATAACATGAGTCTAGTTCACAGCTGATCTTCTTGTTCTTGATATCAGTTTCTTTCAGAAAATTTTACAATCGTTTTGTTCCATTACGATGGGAAGTTGAATGGATGGTCAGACCTGAAGTGGAGTAGTGAAGCTGTACATATAGTAGCTCACAACCAAACAAAATGGTACAACTTATATATTCTAATGCAATCTTAGTGTGGCAGATTTTTGGATTATGTTATTTAATTTTGATGATCGTTTTCTGATTTTTTTTTTTCATTTAATTATTTTCATGTTCAGGTGGTTTGCTAAACGCTTTTTACATCCAGCAGTTGTCTCTAGTTATGATTACATATTCCTCTGGGACGAAGATTTAGGGGTTCAAAATTTCCACCCCGGAAGGTTCTATTTGCATCATTTTTTATTGTTATACTTTTTATTTGATTGTGCCAATTATTTTCTTCAAATCATCAATGAAAATGCCAGATGTGAATAGTAAATGGATAAAAGTATTCATCATGAGATTTGTTCTGAAATAAAGCAACCTGATTTTTTTTTATTCGTATGTCACAACCGTTATATACTCCTTAATTAACTTCATTTTTTTTTTTAAAAAAAAAGGTCTTCTGTGTTATATTTAGGTTCCACTTCATCATATGGTGCATATTGTTCGGTATTTCTAACTATTAACTTCTCCCTTTTTTGATCAGGTATCTGGAGATTATAAAATCAGCTGGGCTAGAAATATCTCAGCCGGCTTTAGACCCGAATTCTACCGGTATACATCACAGGATCACAATTAGAAACCGAATGAAGATATTCCATAGGTAAAATTGTGTCCACGTTTTTAATTTTGATCTTAATTTAATTTATCGTGTTTTGGTGCCTTCGGTTCTTAAACATTCTAACTTTTAAGCAGAAGGGTCTATGAAGCCAGAGGAAGTACCAAGTGTTCAGATGATAGTGAAGGGCCTCCATGCACTGGGTAAGTTAAAACTTTCTGAGTCTTTATGTTTTATATATATTACATATAAACTATAAAGTCTTTTCTCACTATTATTATTATTATTATTATTATTATTATTATTATTATTATTATTATTATTATTATTATTTGTGAAGATTTGTGGAAGGAATGGCTCCGGTATTTTCCAGGTCAGCGTGGCAGTGTGCCTGGCATTTGATACAGGTAATAATATTTTCTTAAATATGTAATTTCATGCATAAATAAATATAACAGAGAGGTTAATCACATGCAAAGTCAATTACAGAAATATTTCAATCAACTTTAATATGTATTTTTCTTTTCTACACATTTTACCGTATTATTTTAAGCAGGATTTCATGTCCTGTTTCTATAATTCTTTCAACATTTTCCCTTTTTCAGAATGATCTTGTTCATGGATGGGGCATGGACATGAAACTCGGCTACTGTGCACAGGTAACACTGCTATTTTTTTTTCCTTGTTAATCCAATCTTTTTAGAGTAATTTTTCAGTACTAATTCAATTTGATTTTATGTTATACTACTAACCATTATTTGATATATATATTTTTTTTTAATAACTCGGAGTTTTGTAGGGGGATCGCACGAAAAAGGTAGGGGTAGTTGATAGTGAATACGTAGTTCATCAGAGTATACAAACTTTGGGTGGGCCATCCGCAAAGAAGGTGAACTTTCTCCCTCCCTCCCTCCCTCCCTCTCTCTCTCTCTCTCTCTCTCTCTCTCTCTCTCTCTCTCTCTCGTTGCGTGTGTGTATGTATGACAGTATGTGAATTCATCTTAGTTAAAGATGTATTTATCCTGGCAGGCTTCAAATCCTGAAGCGACAGTGAAGGTAACTTTTTTTTTTTTCCATAATTCATTGCTATAAACGATGATTTTTTTCCTCTTCATCTTCATTATGACTTTAATTAGAGCAAAATTATACAAGTAATGTATCATAACTAAAGTTTACTGATTGTCTTTTTCCACTTTGAACAGAGGCACACCATAGATGTTAGATCAGAGGTGAGAAGTTTTGTTTTACTAATCAATTCTAAACTTAATTTCATTCATTTATTTACTTTGTATGTGCCAAAAAAAAAAAAAAAAACAATGCAGCTAGTTAATTTAATTTTTGTTTTGCTTTCGGATTTGGTATGGATGCAGATTAGGAGACAATCGACAATAGAGCTTCAAACATTTAAGCAACGATGGGAACAGGCTGTGAAGGAGGACAGCAAATGGGTCGACCCGTAAACAAAGGCTTAGAAGAAGGCGAGGTCATAAACGTAACGTGTCCAAGTTTTAGTCTTTAGATCAACCGATTACTTACTACTAGGTGCTCGTTTGTGATTCTTACAGAATGTGAGGGGCAAATGAATTTCGCAGTTTGATATTTTTTATTTTTTGTTTTTGTTTTTAATGGTTGTTATCTTGCTTGTTCGGGTAGCGCCTTGAAGGCGAGGCACGAGCATGCCAGATAACTTTTTTTTTTTTTTCTTTTTTCCTTTCCATGCACATAAAATTTTACAATTAGGTTTGGCTTTTGTGTGTATTGTTGTTGTTTCTGTTCTTCTATTCTTCGTTTATTCTAACGCGCGTCATTCATCCGACGCGTCATTCATCGACGAAATTGAATATGTGATGGGCCTATATATCTTAATTTTTGCCTGTAACAAAAATGACCATACATAGAGGTTTTATGATTTTCTTTAAACTGCTGTTTTATGTGTGTTTGTTGAGCACACTTTAAAATGATTAGACATGGCTTGATGGAGAGAAATGGTAGATTAGTCCAAAAAGGATAGATATAATTTGTTGAATTAAACCAACATATTTAGATATAACTCTTTCTCTTTATGCATGATTAATCCACTAAATTGCCAATTATAGTTTGAATTGGAAATTATAATTGAAGAAAGAAAGGTCAAATCTGTATCTATATAAAAATGTTTGATTATTTTTTAAATTGTAATTATTTCCTTCTAAAAGAATGTTGTTTACTAATTGTAAAAACTATTTAAACACTTTATGGTATGTTTTAAAGATACAATTTAGGTAATTGTGGCTGATTTATTAAGGTAATAAATTACCTATTTTTTTTTTTTTTTTT